CAAGGGAGCCAATAAATCTGATATGTTTTCATCAAAGCAGGGCAAAAAAGAAGAGTACAGGAGGGAGAAAGAAAACTATCTAAGAGGCTCTGAAACTTTTCCATGTAAAAAAATCACTGGGAAGGACATGTTAAAATGCAGATTGTGACCAGCATTGGCTACCACTGACAGCTGATGATGGCCACCGGCAAATTCAAGGTCCCCAGCCCTACACGCACACACAAACACACATATACACACACTCTCTCATGCGCGTTCACATGCACTCTTAAACAAAATAGCTTAAATACATATACACGTTAAGAAAGGAAAATAAATTGTTCAAGCCTCTAAATATAGCTTCTTTTTTTTTTTTTGAGACAGCATCTAGCTCCGTTGCCCAGGCTGGATTGCAGGGGCTCCATCTTTGCTCACTATAGCCTCAAACTCCTGGGCTCAAGCAATCCTCCCAACTCAGCCTCCCAAAGTGCTGGTATTACAGGCATGAGCCATTGCACCTAGCTATAGTAGACAGCTTCTTTTTTATTTTATTTTATTTTTTTTTTTTTTGAGATGCAGCTTCGCTCTTGTTGCCCAGGCTGGAATGCAATGGCGCGATCTGGGCTCACCACAACCTCCGCCTCCTAGATTCAAGTGATTCTCCTGCCTCAGTCCCCCAAGTAGCTGGGATTACAGGCAGGTACCACCACGCCCGTTTAATTTTGTATTTTTTTTTTTTTTTTAGTAGAGACAGGGTTTCTCCATGTTGGTCAGGCTGGCCTCGAACTCCCGACCTCAGGTGATCCACCCGCCTCAGCCTCCCAAAGTACTGGGATTAAACCCAGTCCATGTGCTGAGCCATGGTGCCCAGCCAACAGCTTCTACTAAGATCCTTTACATTAATCCATATTAATGAAAAATTTTATGAACCAAAAAGAAAATTAAATGCATTCTTCTCGTTTTTTGTTGTTGTTGTTGTTGTTGTTCCATTTCCCTGTATGACTATGGAAATTTTACTGAGATTCTAGACAGAAGCACCAGATATTCAAGCCAGAGGAAATCGTGAGGTGCTAGGAGGAGCAGCTCCACTCACAGACAGTCCTGTGGGCTTCATTCCAACTTGACTCCCTGCTATGGTTTGGATGCAGCTTGTCCCTACCAAAATTCATGTTGAAATTTTATTCCCAATGTGGCAGAGTTGGGAGGTGAGACCTAGTGTTTGGGTCATGGGAGTGGATCCCTCATGAAAAAATTAATGTCCTCTCACGGGGGTGAGTGAGTTCTCTCTGTTGGGAACCCGCAAGAATGTGGTATTAAAAAGAGCCTGGCCGGGCACGGTGGATCACGCCTGTAATCCCAGCACTTTAAGAGGCTGAGGCGGGCAGATCACCTGAGGTCAGGAGTTCAAGACCCGCCTGACCAACATGGAGAAACCCCATCTCTACTAAAAATACAAAATTAGCCAGGCAGCTACTCGAGAGGCTGAGGCAGGAGAATAGCTCGAACCTGGGAGGCAGAAGTTGCGGTGAGCTGAGATCGCACCATTGCACTCCAGCCTGGGCAACGAGAGTGAAACTCCATCTCAAAAAAATAAAAAAACTAAGAAAAATAAATTAAAAAATTAAAAAGGCCAGGCACAGTGGCTCACGCTTGTAATCCCAACACTTTGAGAGGCCGAGGTGCATGGATCACCTGAGGTCAGGGGTTTGAGACCAGCCTGACCAATATGGTGAAACCTGTCTCTACTAAAAATGCAAAAATTAGTCAGGCATGGTGGCATGTGCCTGTAGCCCCAGCTACTCAGAAGGCTGAGACAGAAGAATTGCTTGACCCCAGGAGGTGGAATTTGTAGTGAGCCGAGATCGTGCCACAGCACTCCAGCCTGGGTGACAGAGCAAGACTCCATCTCAAATAAATAAATAAATAAATAAATAGAGGCTGGCAGCAGGTGTGGAGCCTGGCACACACCTGTAGTGCCAGCTACTTGGCAGGCTAAAGCAAGAGGATCACTGGAGCCTAGGATTTTGAGGCTGCAGTGAGCTGTGAGTGTGCCATTGCACTCTAGCCTGGGTGACAGAGCAAGACTCTAAATATATATTTGGTTTGAAGAATAATAAAATAATGAACACTTGGGACCCACCACCTAGGCAAAGTAACAACATGACCAGTACCTTAGAAACTTTCTTTGTACTCTTTCCTCATTATACCTGTCTTCCTCCTCCCGAGATAACCACCTCCTGAACTCAGGGGTCATTATTCCCTTTTTTTTTTTTTTTTTTTTTTTTTTGAGACGGAGTCTCGCTCTGTCGCCCAGGCTGGAGTGCAGTGGCCGGATCTCAGCTCACTGCAAGCTCCGCCTCCCGGGTTCACGCCATTCTCCGGCCTCAGCCTCCCGAGTAGCTGGGACTACAGGCGCTGCCACCTCGCCCGGCTATTTTTTGTATTTCTTAGTAGAGACGGGGTTTCATTGTGTTAGCCAGGATGGTCTCGATCTCCTGACCTCGTGATCCGCCCATCTCGGCCTCCCAAAGTGCTGGGATTACAGGCTTGAGCCACCGCGCCCGGCCTTTTTTTTTTTTTTTTTTTTTTTTGATGCAGAGTCTCACTCCGTCACTTAGGCTGGAGTGCAGTGGTGCAAACTCAGCTCACTGCAACCTCCACCTCCCGGGTTCAAGTGATTCTCCTGCCTCAGCCTCCCAAATAGCTGGGATTACAGGTGCATGCCACCATGCCCAGCTAATTTTTATATTTTTAGTAGAGAAGTTGTTTCGCCATGTTGGCCAGGCTGATCTTGAATTCCTGACCTCAAGTGACCCACCCACCTCGGCCTCCCAAAATGCTGGGATTACAGGCATGAGCCACCACACCCAGCCCCATCCATTTTTTACAGTTTTGCTGCCTCTGAAGGTACACATACAACATGTATTGTTTGACTTTGCATTTTTCATCTTTCTACATATGACATCATACTACACACTGTTTTCTATGACCTGCTTCTCTTATTCAACATGATGTTTCTAAGATTTTACCATATGGATATAACCATCTTTCACCTATTTTTACTATGAGAGAGTATTCCATTATAGGAGTATATGATAATGTATGATATAAACTCTTTCTTTACACAATCAGACCTCTGATTCCATATTAACATAATCCGTGGGCAAACAAATTTATGCCACATGAATTGTTGGTGGCAGTCTCATGTTGGCTTCCATGTGCCAGACCAGATAATTTTTTTTTTTTTTTAAGACAGAGTCTGACTCTGTCGCCCAGGCTGGAGTGCAGTGGCACGATCTCGGCTCACTGCGAGCTCCGCCTCCCAGGTTCAGGCAATTCTCCTGCCTCAGCCTCCCGAGTAGCTGGGATTACAGGTGCACACTACCATGCCCAGCTAATTTTTGCACTTTTAGTAGAGACAGGGTTTCACCATGTTGGCCAGCCTGGTCTCAAACTCCTGACCTCAAGTGATCTGCCCGCCTCAGCCTCCAAAAGAGCTGAGATTACAGGCGTGAGCCACTGTGCCCAGACTTCATCTGATTATTCTTGAAGAGGAGGCAAGATCCTACTAAGAAATGGAGCTGTGAGACCTTGCTTAGCAAGCAAATGGTGCTCTGTGGGATGAGCTTGGAGGAATGAACCCCTCAGACAAAACCGTTTCACAGTTCCAGTTCTACACTTTACCAAGCAGGGGAAAGGAGAGGAAAGGGTTGCTTTGACATTGCAGTCTTCACCTTCATGGGCACGTCAGAGCACCTTTGTTTGATCACAGTGAATAGCACCCAAGTCCAAGAAAAACCTACCCTTCAGACAGCAAAAGCTAAATATTTAGTCTGGGAGGCAGCAGGCAGAAGCCCATCATTCTCTCTGCCCCCAGAAAGCAAGGACAGCAAAGGACTGCCCTTGATCCCAAAGGTCTGATTCATCACCTCTCAACTACAGTCCTTGATGTAAATGCACCGGTAACGCCTCACTTCCCAGGCTTAGCGGGGAGGGGGGTAGGTGTGCACAAACGACAGTCTCCAGACACAAAGAAAACCCACTGCCACTTCCACCGAGTGCTCTGGTTGCGTAAGGCCCTCTGACTGACATGCCTTATCTCAGTTCATTCCCACAATAACCCTGCAACAACCCTGTGAGGCAGGTGATATCCCCACTTTACACCTGAAAAAAAAAATGGGCATCTGAGAGGTTTTGTGACTTATCCAAAATCACATAGCAAGTAAATGACAGGCCAGGATTTGATCTGTTATCTCCTGATTCCAAAGCCCTACACCGTTATCCAACAGACTACTCGGCCACCACCTACAATCATAAGCACGTGTGTACAGTGACCTTCATACCTGCAACAGCAGAGTGGAAAGGGGGCTTTAAGGAGGCAAAGAGACAGTCTTTGGGTAATATTTGCAAAAGTGTTTCCTGCTGAATGGCAACAGGTTCCACGTGAGTGCAGAATGAATACTTACCTAAATGGCAGAGGCCCGGGAAAACTCAGACGCTACACGTAGTAAAAGCCTGCAGCAGCTAACAGACTGCAGAGGACTCCGACACGGCTTACACTATCTGGAAGGTACCTTGCTCACCATCTAACTAGCACTGAATGTCTACCACGTGTGATGGGCCAAAATGAATCCGATTTCCTGTTGCAGCCTGGTTGCTGCGACACCAATGACCTGGTGTCATTCTCAACACCAATGACAACAAATAAGTTTTAACAGGATCTCTGAATTGCAAGGTCGATGAACTGGAGGAATTCAGAGACCAGTAAATAGGTCAAGAATTTAGATACAAACTTGTTAAGAGCTGAATCTGACTTTGAGCCCCAAATTAAGTGATATGGGTGTGTCTGAGACAAATTTTCCAACTCAGCTAAAAGACTAAGATGCAGTTACTAGCACCAAAGCTGAGAAGGCATCACTCTCTAAAGAGTGATTTCACTCAAGTATTCTTCCCTCTCTAAAGAGTGAAATGTTCAAGTATTCCTCGCCCACTGCTGTTCTAGCTTAAGAAACTGTTTCCGGCGACGGCAGTAACAGCGGCAGCTACAGCGGGGACGCGAGCGGGGCGGTGACGGTGTGGGAGGTGGTCTCACTCTTGGGAAAACTGCTGGGCACCGTCGCTGCGCTGAAGGTGGTTCTGTACCTGCTCCGAGTGTGCTTAGCGATGGCCTGGAAATCCGGCGGCGCCAGCCACTCGGAGCTAATCCACAATCTCCGCAAAAACGGAATCATCAAGACAGATAAAGTATTTGAAGTGATGCTAGCTACAGACCGCTCTCACTATGCAAAATGTAACCCTTACATGGATTCTCCACAATCAATAGGTTTCCAAGCAACAATCAGTGCTCCACACATGCATGCATATGCACTAGAACTTCTATTTGATCAGTTGCATGAAGGAGCTAAAGTTCTTGATGTAGGATCTGGAAGTGGAATCCTTACTGCATGTTTTGCACGTATGGTTGGATGTACTGGAAAAGTCATAGGAATTGATCACATTAAAGAGCTAGTAGATGACTCAATAAATAATGTCAGGAAGGACGATCCAACACTTCTGTCTTCAGGGAGAGTACAGCTTGTTGTGGGGGATGGAAGAATGGGATATGCTGAAGAAGCCCCTTATGACGCCATTCATGTAGGAGCTGCAGCCCCCGTTGTACCCCAGGCACTAATAGACCAGTTAAAGCCTGGAGGAAGATTGATATTGCCAGTTGGTCCTGCAGGTGGAAACCAAATGTTGGAGCAGTATGACAAGCTACAAGATGGCAGCGTCAAAATGAAGCCTCTGATGGGGGTGATATACGTGCCTTTAACAGATAAAGAAAAGCAGTGGTCCAGGTGGAAGTGATTTTATCTTCTGCTCTTTCTTCTTCCACACATGCAAGGTGAAAGGGTGTGGATTTTAAGACATTAGATTACAAGAGCTGTTTTGGTTGTCACCTTTATGCTCCTCCATTATAACATCAGAAATTCATTACATTAAAAATGTGAAAAATGAAAAAAAAAAAAAAAAAAAAAAAAAGAAACTGTTTCCTCCAGTTCCAGGTGCCCATCATGGCTTTGTTGACAAAAGATTTGCCAATTACACTGTCATTTGTCACCCCGTGAGACCCAACTATTGTAAGTCACCTACGGAGACACAGAAAACATGACTGGTCTTCGGGAGCGAGGCAACGCCTTTACAGTGACTTGGAAAAAAGAGAATGGGGAAATGGCATCTCTGCTTCTAATAAGGGTACGGAAAAAAGATCCGAATGTACATCTTGTCTTGCTCCCGCCACCTGCCAGTCACTGCAACCTCATAAGCCCATAAAACAATCAAATCAGGAGAAGCTGACGGCTGTCCTCAGAGGGATCTTTTAAGATGCTGCGGGTATTGGCTAAAATCATATTCCATTTCTCAAAGCATTATTCCCCCTCCCTGGGATCTGTTTGGGAAGTTTTTTGGTTTTTTGGTTTTTTTTTTTAACCAAACATAGTCTCACTCTGTTACCGAGGCTATAGTGTAGTGCCTTGTTGCTAGCTCAGTGCAGCTGCAGCCTCAAACTCTTGGGCTCAAGCAATCCTCCTACCTCAGCCTCCCAAGTAGCTGGGACTACAGGCACACACTACCACGCCCAGCTCATTTTTCTATCTTTTATAGAGACCGAGTCTCCCTATGTTGCCCAGGCTGGTCTTGGAACTCCTGGCCTCAAGTGATCCTCCCACCTTGATCTTCCAAAAGAGCTGGAATTACAGGCATGAGCCACTGTGCCTGGCCTCATTTAGGAAGATTTTTACTGCCAGTTACTTACCTACTCTCTGCAGGTAATAAAGATTTACAAACATATTTGTAGTTTGTACTTTTAAGATTATTTTCCTCAAAATGTCCTTTAAATATCTGGTGATTTTGCACATGCAATAAACAATAAACAAAGGTGCCAACCCTCTCCCTCGTCTCTCTATACTTAGAGTTATTTTCCTGCCTAGATGTTCAGTTACCATGGAAATGAGTTTGCACCACTAACACAGGTATAAAATGGGAATTTCGGTAAATTAAATTATGTCATTTGTAAAATGTATAACAAGTATAATATTTGGACTCTAAGTGTAGGAGGTCTTTTTTTTTTTTTTTTTTTTTTTTTGAGATGGAGTCTCGCTCTGTCGCCCAGGCTGGAGTGCAGTGGCATGATCTCTGCTCACTGCAAGCTCCGCCTCCCGGGTTCATGCCATTCTCCTGCCTCAGCCTCCCGAGTAGCTGGGACTACAGGCGCCCGCCACCACGTCCGGCTAATTTTTTGTATTTTTAGTAGAGACGGGGTTTCACCGTGTTAGCCAGGATGGTCTCAATCTCCTGACCTCGTGATCCTTCTGCCTCGGCCTCCCAAAGTGCTGGGATTACAGGCTTGAGCCACTGCGCCCGGCCTGTAGGAGGTCTTAACCAACACTCCAAGGGAACCCTGGGACACCCCCTAAAGCAGAATGCACGACAGAAAATCTCACAAAGAACCATTGCTCTAAGCATTTCTATGTGTGTCCTGGAAGAATAACTGTGGCAGCAGCACCTGACATACAAAAGAGCAGTCGAGTTTCCTGTTCGACGGTTCCTTTGATCCAATAACCTACTTAGCTAGTCCCAGTCTTCGTCAAGGAGCCTCTGACCCTTCTAAGAATCCTGAATTCTTTCACAGCCATAAAAAATGAATAAAAAGTAAGCCTATAATCTTAGCTTATGCTAGATTATAGCACAGTGGCTTATGCCTATAACCTTAGCACTTGGGGAGGCCAAGACAGGAGAATCAGTTGAGTCCAGGAGTTTGAGACCAGCCTGGGCAACATGGTAAAATCCCATCTCTAGAAAAATTTAAAAATTAGCTAGGCGTGGTGGCACATGCCTGTGGTCTCAGCTACTTAGGATGCTGAGGTGGGTCTGCATCTTGAGCCCAGGAGGTCAAGCCTGCCGTGAGCCGTGATGGTGCCACAGCACTCCAGCCTGGGCAACAGAGCAAGATCCCATATCAAAAAACAAAACAAAAGAATGAAATCACGTCATGTCCTTTGCAGCGACATGAATATAGCCGGAGGCTGGAGGCCATTATCCTAAGCAAATTAATGCTGAAACAGAAAACCAAATACCACATGTTCTCATTTATAAGTGGGAGCTAAACATTGGGTAAACATGAACACAAAGATATAAATAATAAACACTGGGGACTCCAAGAACAAGGAGAGAGGAGCAAGGATTGAAAAACTACCAATCAGGTACTATGTTCACTATCTGGGCAATGGGATCATTAGAAGCCCAAACCTCAACATCATGTAATATACCCATGTAACAAACCTGTTCATGTACCCCCTGAATCTAAAATAAAAACAAAAATTAAAAATCTAAATTCAATTTAAAAAAAAAAAAAAAGGATCCTGAGTTCTGGACTCCTCTATTAGCCTCCTTCACCACTGAGTCAGTTACAAGATCTCTGGAAATGTCCAACAGTTTCTACCATAAAATGTTCCCCGCCATGTCCCAACATGTTTTCAATAGCTCTAAGCATCTTCTCAGCTCTTTCTCATAGCCAAGGGGGGTCTTACCGGGATCTTCCACCAAAGCAGTTTGTGCTGGGGAGCTGGTGCCGGTTCTCTGGAGCTACCGCTGTTCCACTGGAGTCTCTCGAAGGTGGCTGTGATCCTAGAAAGGAATCAATCACAAGAAAAGACAGAAGCATTGAGGAGCTCAACTCATGTTCGAGATTTGACAGCTAGGAACAGAACTCCCTCTGTGTGTTAGAGTTGCCACCACCACAGGATACGGACATCCAGCAAGCTGCAGCCACCAGAAGGAGAGGAACAGGGACGATCACACAGGATCCAATCCATGCCATGGAGCAGTGGGGCTCAAACCTTGGAAACAGCTTCTCTTCTCCAAGACATTCAAGAGCATCCAAGGCACTTACAAGCAAATTGCCTTATCCATTAAATGAATCTCAGCCTCAAAAACATGAGATAGAGAACAAACGCTAACCGTGCAAAGTAGGGGCCAGGAATCGGGGGCATTTCTCCATAACACACCCAGAGAGCTTTTACAAAGCCAAATCAGATCATCATAGTCTTCTGCTAGAAACCCTTCAACAACTTTCTGTTTCTCAAGATGAGGTTCAAAATCCCTACCAAGGGCTTCAAGGCTGCACGATCTGAGTTGACCTGTTTCTCCGACCTCACCTCCTCCATTCTCTCTCCTTGCTCCTAATAATCCAACCACACTGACTGCCTCTGTTCCCATCACAGGCCAAGCCACCCCTTCACCCCACACCCCCACCATGGCCTGTCTAAACTCCTTGTCCTCCAGGTCTCAGCTTCCTCAGAGAAACCGTCCCTGATCCCTCAATTTAGATGAGATCTCCCCCAACAAAGTACAGGAATCTCATGCCACCCTGTGGTTTTCACTGATAGCTTTTGTCACAATCACAGCTATGTAATTACCTGTGTGTTTACTCATTTGATGTCTAACTTCCCCTGCCCTCATCAAGTAGACTGTAAACCTCAAGCAGTGGAGACCATGTGAATTTGGCCCATTGCCATCCGGCTGGCACCTGGTCTAAGACCTAGTGCATACCAGGGATACAATTATGTATATATGTGTTGAACGAGTGAATGACGCATGTTTTTCTCCAAGCACCAAAGCACCCCAAGCACTGATCAGTGCAGTTGGATTTTTCTCCACAGTCAAGGCCCATCCAGCCACTGAGATTCCAACCAACTGCCCTTGAATTGGAATTCAAACTGCACCCCTTTGAAGCTACAGAAATCCTACTTGGTGCCTGGAAAGTGCCATGATTACATCACATCTAAGAAAACATTTAATGGGAAAAATTAATGGAGAAACCCAACCCATTTCAGACCTCAGAATTATTCATGAAATAATTTCCTACTAGATCCAAAGGTGACTAATTTCAGACTAGATCAAAAGAAACAAACTACCAATATTCGGGACAGAGAAGGGGACACTCTCCAAATTCCCAGCTCTGTCTGTATTTTGCTAGTGTGTATCTCTAGGAAAACACAGGGTCCCCTTCCCAACTCCTCATAAAAACACCCTCAACCTCCCCAAAAAGTGTAACTGTATTGGGAAGGAAAATGGGCCAAAGTCACATTTGATAAAGATATTTCATTTTCCAAAGTCCACATGGGATGAAAGATGTTTTTCTCTGCTATCAAACCAAACAATTACACAATTTACAGAGACTGGACATTTACTGTGGCCCTTGATCAGAAAGTGGCCCTTGAAAATTCATGTCGTGATATTGATCCACGGTGCTAAGAAGAGTCGGGGCTAGCTATGGGCCAGGCTGAGTGGTAATCAAACCAAGATGCCTAGTAGAGAACCAAGCTCTCAGCACCTCCTGGCCCCTGCCCAGCCCCACCCCGTCCCGGCACAGCCCTGAGGAGCAGGGCGGCACTCACCATCTGTCACAGCACTGCCATTAGGCACACTTCCCAGATCAACAGTCGGCCCGTCCAGGAAAATTGTCAGCTCTCCGCCTGAGACAACACTGCCTTTGTTCTCCGTCTGCAGGTTCAGGGTCAGCTGCGTGTTCTCCACTGTGGGGTACAAAAGGCAACATGGATGGGCTAAAGCAAATGCACCCCAAGTTAAGATTCTCTAAATTAGAAGCTCCCATTTCACCTTCGCTGGCTTCCCTGAGAATGCTTTCCCCGCATCTTCAAATTTTGCCTCGTCGCATGGAACAAAGAGTGGGAAGGAATATGTCTAATGAAATCACTGTTGTATCAGGTTGGAGGGGAAGGTGTACTCTTTCTAAACATTTCATATCACCAGATCAGCAACATAATTTCCACATTACTGATGTATTAGTTTGTTTACACTTGCAGGACTGTGAGAAAACCACAGGGATACTGATGGTGTACAGATGAAGAAATAGTTGCAAGTAATATCCCCCTGCCCATAGAAACCAAAGAGACCCTAAGGAACTGTCAACAGGAGACATCTCCATCTGGAGAGGGATTGCAGGGGCTTA